CCCTTTCTTTTTTCATTACAGTACAGTGAGACTTTTACATAACTATTTCGTTATTAGATAACTATTTTAAGCGTAGTTGAAACAGCAGCCGGACCGTTTGTCCGCCATGGCAGAGTGCCGTTGAGTCACGTGCAACGCATAGAGATGCGTTGCAGACGATCGATTTTACGGCCTCTCCTTCTACGCACGTGTTCAGCCATGTATAGTCACACATCGAATTGCTTTGATCGTAACAGTCCTTATCTCACGGACTGTTTCCCGTGGAAGCACGATTCCCTCGTTCCTTTCATTTTCAGAAAGTTAAGCCCGCGAAAAGCCCAATTCAATCTGGCAAAGAATTTCCAAATACTTTTGGAAAAAGAACACTTTTTTTTTTTTTATTTCATTACCTTTTTGTAAATATTCGGAAATTTTTATCAATCAACCGCACGAATATCGTGGATTTTATTTTATCGAGGTGTTACTGACTTGTTTGTGAAAGTCAGTTGCTTTTAAATTTTATAAAAAGAACCTCTCAGAGATGACAAGGTCAGTCGAAATTTGAATAAAAATCTGGCACTAAAATACAATGCTAATGTATCGATCGAAAGCAATGGTCCAAGTGACAAAAAGAATTTTAACCCATTACGCATAATAAATAAAACTTTTATCATAACTTTGAGTGTAGGATTTTTTTTTTTTTTATTTAATTAAGATTTAAATTCTAATTTCAAGTTTCAATTTATTTTTTTGAAAATGTTAGATTTGATAATTCATTATGTTAATTTAAATTACATGAATATATAGCGTTTCTTCGATCATTATATCATATGCGAGCAGTAGACAGAACATTGGTTAGCAATTTTTTGCCGTTCATTGTTCGGTCGTTTCATCTGGAACATTTTTAGAACGTTAGAATAGAGTGGTAATTAAGTTTCTCGTCACTGTCAATTATCTTAGACATTGTCACAGTTAATCTCGTCAGTCATCCATGCAATTACATATTTATCTTCAATCTCCTTATTGTGTAATTCTCTCCGAGTTATTTTGTACTCTTCACGTCTGACAATGGAGAAATAAAATATGGCAGTGTCATATTAGTAGCATGATAAAATTATTTCACTTTAAATTTAATATATTCGTCGTATAATTTAAAAGTTATTCTACAATCATTCATTTTCTATGACTTATGAAATAAGGTGAAGAGTATAACTGAAACCAATAACGATGAAAAATTGTCGTGTATTTTAAACTTTTATAACTTCGTTAAAAAAAAAAGTTAGACGACAATCTAGTTAGTCTCATTGTAAAGCGTAAAATCTCTACTTCAACAGCCCCGAGTTCGTTTTTTTCTTTTCTTTTTTTAAACTGTTCTTGCATTATGTAGCGGGTGGGACAACAAATGTTCTTTTGTCCTCAAAAAAAACATTTCTAAAAACATTGAAAATTTTTTTTTCGTAACTTTGGATTCACCACGGTCTTGAAGATCGAAATTTTCTTTTTCGCGACGACTCCTCGAAACTTGCTGTAATATGATTTTTCCTCGTCGTTTTATCGAATCGGACGTGTTGTGAAGTTAAGCGATGTAAAGTAAAATTTAGCAAATAGTGTGCAAGCTCTCGAGCAACTGTAAAAAGGAAAGAAGAGAAAGGAAAAGGGAGACAAACATCAAGCAGAGATACGTCGAAAATTCAGAGACGACAAGTGACAATTAATTTGAATACTTATCTACCGGTTGGCCACGTGTTTCCAGTACGGGGAATTAAACTAAGGTAGCAGTCCCTTAGCAGTCGGCGGTTCGCATTTATTCGCTCTTATCGCGCTGGCTGTAAGTTTCGAGAGGTAGAAGAGGCACCTTGCACGTGAGACTTTTCACGAGGGCTTGCACACGTGTTGTACGTCGTTGCTCGAACGACATGGCCGCTGCACCCTGCCGCGTACGCGTGCAGTAAGGTGCATGCAAGCTCTGACCCAGATCGCACGATCGATATTCCCTGGCCCAGATACGCTTACGGAGATTAATATTTTTTCCACGCAAGCCTGACGATGATTGATCCCTCTCCCTTTTCACGAACTTCGTACTTAATTGCCGTTTCGAGATCGAGGTCCTTTTGGCCGCGTTTCAGGACTAACGCCATGCGTGGTGTAATCGTGCATGAAGTTGTTGAACTTGTTGACTTGGATATATTTTAAGCAGTAAACAAGTGCTATGTTTTTTTAATTTTTTTTTTATATAATCCTTCGTTCCGTGTAACTGAAACAATGAGGAAATTATTTCACGTATAACGTTGTAGAATTTATTGATTTGGCTCTTTTGAAGTTACAAATTGCTGAGGATATTATTTGCAATTACGCGAGAATACGAAAGTATATAAAACAAATGTCTTGTAATTCTTATAATTATAGTTCTTATAATCTATATATATATATCTGTTATAGTTCTTATAATCTAGTGTATTCAAATCTTGCAAATGTTACTTTCTAAAAAATACTTCTAGTACAGAAGTACTAATATTTTTGTTAATATATTTTTTTTTCTTTTTTGATCTTGAAACTACGATCATTTTGATATTATCTTAGTACGTTGAATTGCTTGTTTTTAACGAGGTGCGCCTTCAATAATTCGTATGTGTAATTTCACTGCTTGTGAAATCAGCCATATAAATTGATGCCTACAATCTCTCGAACTGCGCACGCGAGTCTGATTTAGCCGCTTAATTTGGTGTCATTGATCTAGATTGATCTCTGAAATTTATTTCTCGCTACTAATTCATTTATAAATTACTTGCCACGATTGACCGCGCGATTGGACACACGACATATAGATTGTTCGAATAATTCTTCGTACAAAGATTTATATTCACAAGTAGTTTGTATTGAAAATTATTCTGGAAATTTTTTTCCTTTTTTTTTTGAAATAGCATTTTTTGGGGGATTCGTACGTGACCTTATAATACTGCTGAATTATAATATAGAAATACTTTGGGAATTTGTATCAGCTTCAAAAGAGTTATAAATAATTACATAAATATAGTATGTTGCTTAGCGGCATGCTATTAAAAATAGAAGGAATATTCATAAATGTTGAGGACCTTTGAAAGCACGCGAAATTAGAATATTTCTCATTTCTTTACAAAGAAGACTTCTTTCACTTCTATATTTCCAACAGTTCCACAAATCAGAGCCAAATATTATAAATCTATTCTAATAAACTTTCGCAGAAGTCGTTTTAAAACTGAAAATGTAAACACAAAAGCCTTCGTTCATAGCTACTAGATTTCTTTCTGTGTCGGAGACGATTATCAATTCTGCACACGCGTAAACCTTACAATTATCCGCGTTACCCTCCCAACAATTACGCAAATATTCCACGTTGCGTCGAATCGAGTCCGACCAAACCGACACCGTAAGCTGCTCCTCAATCCACGCGAACTTCCATCTTCGATACAAGCGCCGATGCCAGTAATCAGATGGCAATGACCGCTATTCCACCTCGGTACGTCGTTCGTTTTCGTCGAAATTCCGACATCGCGGTTGTCGCAGTCGACAACGTGCGGCTCTTAAACACCGTGCAGAGTCAGGTGGATCGGCATAGAACTCGAGCCCGTGTGTCCCTCCTTCTTCGATAAATGTGCATCGGCTGCTTCGTTAGCGGGTTGTATCCAAGCGTTACCGTATAGGAGGGAGACAACGAGGACAACGACGTCGACAGCGGGGCGGCAGGGAGTCGGGAGTCGTCTTGGTATTGCTTCGCGGATCGTTTGGCGAGGTCATGGTCAGCCGGCGTGCTGAAACCGAGAGTCAACAAACTCAGTAAACGAAGAGAGAAGAGACGCCAGAAGCGGCGAACCAAAAGTACCACCAGTCGGACCATCCAACCGGACAGTTAACCAGCCTACCAAACGTATAACCCACCGAGTGTCCGTTCAGCCGTGAGTTCCTCAGGAGGAAAGCCGCCCACTGCTAGCGGAATCTCTCCTCTCGTCCTCTTTCTCCCACCACTTTTCCCTTCTCTCTACTTTCTCCTTTCTCCTCGTTGTTCGTGTTGTCTGCCTTGTCTCTTTCATCCTCCTTCGTCGCTCTGTGAGCGAGAGACCTCCGTTGCTAAAAATAATTCGCAATCATTATTTATAGCGCCGTTGGCTTGAAGTTATGATGATGCACCTGCAGGTACAGGAAGAGGTACTGTGATTCTTGGTGATTTAACTTGTGGCGAGATCTGTGACCTCTCCGTTCGATTCGATGGTCGTCGAGCTTTTTGATGCGTTTGGTTCGAATACTAGCTGTAGAAGGATTTTATGTTGTAATATTGGAAACGAGGAAGTCTTTTCGTAGAGACAGATAATTTGGAGTCGGACAAAAATGTGACACGCTTGTGCATTTCTCTTGTGTTTCGCCACGTGCGCCACGCGAGCACCGTTTCGTGAACTATTTTCTTCACGTGACGCATTAAGATATATATATATATATATATATATATATATATATATATATATATATATATATATATATATATATATATATANTATATATGCAGAGTATCAAAGAACAATCGACATGACTTTCTTAAAATACATGCCTTTGACAATTAATTTTTTCAGCAAAATTTAGTAGTTTTAATACTCATCAACGTAATTGACAATCCTACATGATTTTCTACCCCAGAAAAAGTCCTAGCAATTATCTTGAGAGCAATTATCTAGAATTTTTTATCTCAAAATTGCAATATTTTCTCAGTTTTAAGTATATTTAAATATGACCCAGGCAACAACAAATAACAAATTTATTACTTCTTAGTAATTTCTATCCAGTGATGTCATACGGTTTGGTCACCCGTTATGGTCCGTGAACCAGTTGCAAGAGGTTAATCGAGTTTTTCGAAACCTAACCTTATCTCGCTTCAGAAAAATGCTGCGTGATCTACTACTAAAAAGAAGGAAAAAAAAAAGAAAAAAAAGTGACATCTACATATTTGTGCTGTCCAATCTCTCGAGGATACGCGTGTTTATGTATGTATGTAGCCTGGAGCACAGCAAGTTTATCGACATTGGTACTTGTGACGTCGCGATTTGCGGTGGCAGCGCCCCGGACAGGTCCGCGCCTCCGCGAGCTGTGACGTCATTGGGTAGCGGGCGAACGTTCGGCCAATGAGCGCGTGCCACGTCATCGCCCGCCTCCGCTCTTCGGCAACGGCGGAGACGGCTAGTCACGTGACGTCACCAGAGACGACACGACGGTCTCCACGAGTTGAATGACCCCTACAAGCCAAGTTCAATACACCGACGAGGAAAGACACGACCCGTGGACCTGCGGAGTCCACACGACCATAGTTCCTTCGTTGCTCGCCGTTTCGTCCGTGCTTGGCCGGAGGGAAGCCCGGAGTCTTCCTTCTACTGCGTTCCGCGTGTTCAGTCGCGTTCGGCTACGCTCGGGTCGTGTCGGTTCGGCTCGGCTTTCTCGAATCGCGGAGTCGTTTGGCCCGTCGATTCCCCGGCCAGCTCGCATTCGATCCGGAGGGAACGCTCGCATTCGATGGCTGCGATTCTGCGGCTTCGACGAAGATTCGAATAGCTAATCCAAAATTGCCCGAATTTTATCGAAGGAATGTCGATCATCGGGAATTCGTTTTCATCGATTTGCATACGACATCGTGTCGAGCAGTTTTGCTATAGGATGTCGTATCGAGGGAACTCTGTATCGTGAACTACGATTTATCGTCGATTGTATTTGTCGAGGGTACTTAAGTTTAACGCGTTTGCGAGGTATTCGGGCTGTTGCGTGTCTCTCGAATCATTGAACGGGGGGATAATATGAGATGAAAGATGCACGCAACATTTAATATAATCAGTACACTTGCAATTTTGTACGCGAATTTTGTTTCGCTTTCATCATATCGATATGTTCGATATGCTGGTCGAAGATTTAAATAACTGAAGAAAGGAATTCTTTAACTAATTTTTTAGCGAACTGTTAATAAAGTCTACGAATAGATTGGAATAGGGACGAACGAAATGTTAAAAGTAATAGAATTATTTTACAAACGAAAGGAGTTCCGTTTTTAAATATCTTTTTTCATTGAGTTAATAATAAAATTTTAAGGAAATAATTAATAAATTCAGAATTGGACGAACATAGATTATTAATGAAATAGTATTACATTTCCGATAGCAAATGAATAATAAGTTGAGAGATAGAGGGATAAAGCGCATCGAAATCATTCTAGAGAATTAGATTGTGCGTCGTGAGACCTTTATTACTTAATACATTGTTGCGTTAAAAGCGAATCTAGGTAATTAAATTGCAGGATATTCTGTATTAGGTGTAAACGTAATGACTGTACTTTTTTCTTTGAACAAATACTGCGTCCTGCGAGATAAACGCATGATAGGACTAGGAGGTAATTAAATTAAACCGTTTTTATGTTTCTATTAAAAAGCTTGAACCTGAATCAGTGAAGTAGAATCATACTATAAAGAACCTGTATTTTATTAAATTCGCTTTATACAGTACAGCAAAACCAATTGTTCGAAAATTTATTATTTTCAAATCTACGTATTAGATACGCACGCTATAAAACATGAGATTGAATATAAATCTTAAAGCGTAAGGTCTGAAAGCTCGAGCCATTGAACGTTTAGATGTCGTTCGCGCGAGATACCGTTATTTAGGTCGAGAGACCAGAATTTGCTATTCCAAGAAAATATCTCCGTTGCCGTGTGAATTTCAAAAGGTGCGCGGTGAAACAGGAATGCAGTAACATGTTGAAAACAAATCGATCTCGCCTGGTTTCGCCGGGATTCTCTCCCGTGCCTGGAGAAAAATTCCTTTTATTTCGAGTCTTCAAACGCGTCACGATCGGTCTGTTTTTATTCATATAGCCGGTGAGGAAGTTAAAATTAGTCGCCGCGACGTTACATCTGGGAGTCAGTGACTCCCGTGTGCGAAACGTTACTCGCATTGCACCAAAGAAATCAGTTACGCGTCGCAGTTGGACAAACATTTTCCTCCAGCTATTATCTCTCGCAATAAGTTTCCGAACTTATGAACTATAGTATGCAGTGCCAACTCACGTTGAAACGACTACGGTTTTTGAGATATAAAATGTTGTTAGATTAGAACTTACATTATAGTGTGCAATGCCAACTCACAGTTTCTGAGATATATGAAAAATTTGTTATTAGATTAGATGCACAAACATTCACAGTCTGCTTATTACGAAAGGCCAGTTATTACTCTGTAGGTATACTTTCACACGTATAACATTTCATCAGCGATGTTAAATCGAATTCCAAGATGAGAATTATTCGATCAATAATCCGATTAAATTGTCCCGTCCCTAAGGATCGATTATTCCCGGCGACCGTGTGAAAGGGTACCATTAAGTATTGTTAAAACGAGACCGTTGAGCATCGGCGAGAAATATTTCTTAAGCAAATACAGGGTTGATTGGTGGAAACCGACCGCCATTGCTTCTTCAGCTGCGCTCACGTGGGCAAAGGAAGTGTGTTAATAAAAGGCAGGTGGTTCTCAAAGAGTAAACCGCGCAACGGAGAATTTTTCCTTTCCCCCTTGGAGTTTTTCTTCTTGCGAAAGTATTTTCATAGCAAAGCGCTTGTAAAGGAATTACAGGAGGTTCTTTAAGAATTTAATTCGTACGTTTCAGACATGGCTGATGAAAAGATAATGAATCACGGGAGTAAGAAGTTTGTTTCACTTTCTTCTTGCTGGACGATAGCTTTCTAGTTATTAATTAAATTACGGCTGTTGATTTTGGGATCATATTTTTCATTTGGAGCATTCTTGTTGCACACGTATATAGTTAGCGTAAATTAGTTTATTCTGAATATTTTTTTATTTTGAAATAGATTATAGATAGTCAATTTAATTACTTTGTCGTTGTTACGTAAGAGACGCTATGTGACATAATGATTTTTGTATTCGTTTAAAAAGTCGCTGATGCATTTTTTTTTTCATATTGCATTTTTTTTTTTTTTAAAAAAAAAAAAAAAAAAAAAAAATACATATGGCTGTGGATGTAACTATTTGAAAATGTAAAGCTGTCGTCATCAATATTTCGATCTTTTATTCGATATTTTATTTCGAGCTTTTCTTCACATCACAAGCGTAACATGAAATAATGGAACATTCATTCTTTTTTGATTAACACTAGAATTATCGACGACCAAAACATAAAATTTCCATCAGAGACGTTAAAAATAAATGAAACAGAAAATCTTTATAGTGTACACAAGCTTTTATTTATGTATTTTATGAAGGATCATTCAAGTCTCCAAAAATATACTGTTTTATATCTATAAAATATTTAACAAAAATATTCAAATGGTCATTTTGACCATTTTGGTAGTGCTAGTGTTAAAGAATAAAAAGATTTTCAATCGCAATTGAAATTTGATTGAAAAAAACGTAACCAGACTTAAATGTCAGATTACATCTTCGTTGTTTAACTTCTTTATAAATAATTCACAGATACACAGACGTAGAGATCACTTTTTAACATTGTTATTTGTACCTTTGATCTATTCGCTAGCGCGAATATAATCGACTAAAATATGACGTTTGTGTTTAAGAAACTTTTTTTATCACACGCAGAAACAGAAAAAGGTGAAAAAGAAAAAAAAAAAATATATATGCAACACGGAGACACGGTGCAAACTGAATAAAACGTTCAGATGGTGTTACCTTTCGAAGATCATTCGCATTTACATAAGGCTGAAAAGGCGATGGCCAAGGCGTAGCAAAGATAACCATCTAGACTCGTTTTTAACGAATCACCATAAGCACGCCATAGTCCCGATTAAAATTCATTTGTCGCATAAACTGGGCAATATTCGTCCGTGTGTTAACTATCCGAGCCGAGATCCCGCGCGTTTTCTCGCTTGAGGTACGACACCATGCTGTGCAATTTATATGCATCCATTTGTAATAGATGTCGTGAAAGTAAGTTGGCACAAGCACCGGTTTCCGTGGGATGGGAGGGGGAGGGAGGGGGGAGAACGGCAACCACCACCTCACGAACACGTGGTTAAAACGAAGTGCGTGTTACAGCCACGTGGCTCGCCATCTGATAAGACCGGTCTAACGCGAACGTACTCGCCACTTAACCCCAGCTAACTGGCCATTTTTTACTCGGGTCATTGTTAAAAAGTTCAGGTCATTGTTAAAGCCAATTGTGTGTCGTGGTTACAGAGAGTAATTTGCAGAGACGCGTTCTTACTTCGTCTTCTCTTTCGTTTTCTATTCGGATTCTGCACATTTCACTTTCGCAGTGGCAAGTTTTATTGTTTTCGTTAGATGCTAGGGAGAAACTCTGGAATAAATTTCCAGAATAATTTTCTGGAAACTTTAGTCTCAAGTTATTGGTACGAGTGAGAATGGATGAATGTACGGGAGAGAGTGAGAAACTGTCTGTGAGACTATGAGAGTTTGAAGAGAAAAAGGACAAAGCGGTTACAGAGAAATTTATACAGAGCATTACTAATATGCATTTTTGTTTGTAATACATTTATATATATATATATAATTTATATTATATTATTATTATTTATATATATATATTTTATTTATTTATTAATTTCTTAGTTCAACACTATAAAAATTGTTAGATTTCTAGTTTTGCAGGTATTAATGTTTTGTGGATAGAAAATAAATTTGTCTCCTTTTATAGTATATATATACTATAAATATACATATAAGTATACATATAATTTATAGTATATATATATATATATACTATAAATATACATATAAGTAGACATATAATTTATATTATTTATATATATATTATTTATATTATTATTTTATCATACCTGCAAAACTAGAAATCTAACAATTTTTATAGCGTTGAATTAAGAGATTAATAAATAAAAAAAAAAGGTGTTTAACTATGTAGCCACTGTTATTCACCTAGCGACATATAGCGAGAGCATTTGTACGTTGTTGTGGAAGAAACAGGCGTCAAAAGTAAGGAAAATACGTATTCAAATGCATTCACGTGAAATTAAATTACAATTATTATGTAATATGAATTAAAATTAAAGAAAGATTGTACAACCTCCGCGACGAAGCTCGTTCCATCAAATGTCGTTCCTAATGTAGAATTTTTCAAGTACAGGTGCAAGCACAATGACAATCGGAACGAAAATTATTTATTTAAATGTGTTTACACGTGCCAAACCGTGCAACCGCGAAGCTCGCTCGATTCACGAACACGCTCGTAATCGCTTTAACACGCTAATCGGGCGCTTTAAGCCTCGCGTGCATTGATATTTGTCCGCGGCCTCGTGTCCCCGAGCACGTGGCAACTTGCATACGTTTTCACCGGTGCATGATCGATTGCTTTTTGCCGTACAACACAGAGGCGGCGCCTCGCCTCCGAACGAAACCGATCCATTCCAGTTGACTTATCGATTTCACTGAAAGTAACAGTGTTTCCGTGGAAAGGGGAATTAGGCTAGATAAACGGTCTGAATATTCGTACATCTCATCCAGTGTTATCGGCCGG